GGGAGAAAGGTTAAAGATGAACCAGAAAGTAAAGGTATGCTTCAAGAATGAGGGGGACATATCAAAAGGACACAGGAGCTAGCTTGAAGGGCTCCAACTGTCCATATTTTGTGTATCAAAATAAAAAACAATAGCACAGCTTGGGTATCCTTTCTCTGAAATGCCTGGGACCTGAAGCATTCCAGATTTAGGATTATTTTTGGATTTTGGAATATGTGCATTATAGTTACTAGTTGAGCATCCAAAATCCCCAAAACATTGTTGAGTATCATGTTGGTACTCAAAACATTTTGAATTTTGCAGCATTTCACATTTCAGATATTTGGATTTGGGATGCTTGACCTATAATAGATCATAAATCGTTAAGTCCATACTGATGTAAATAAATTATAAACAGATAAAACAGGCAGATAAATAAATAGGGGAGAAAGGAAAACACTTCCTTAAAGCAAAGTACTAGGCAGTAACTGTAGAAAGAATGACAGATTTTAGAAAATGGCTATTTGGCAACCATCACAGTAATAATTGTTGCAGGAAAGAATTGTCATTAAATGCTACAAGTAGACAGTAAAAATCTGATGAAAAATAGTAAATTTATATAGTCTCAAAAGATCTAACAAGTGTTATTACTTATTAGTTAATGCAAAGGGGAAAACCATGAAGTAAAAAAATAGTAATTTTACAGTGGATCACCTTGGAAGAGGCCATCTTAACCAAGTGACTGAAGTAAACACCACCAGTAAAGGGACAAAAAGATGTCATGTGCTTCTCATATAATGTACTGAAAAGGGTACAATATAAATTCTAGGGCATTCCTGCCAGAAAACATAGCCAAATCTAGTCATGAGAAACCATCAAACAAACCCCAATTGAGGGATACTCTATAAAAAACAAATGGTCTACGATCCAGATCATGAAAGACAAAGACAGACCAAAGGACACTAAAAGGCATGACAGGCAAATTCATTATGTGATCCAGTAGTAGATTCTGACCAGAAAAAATTTATTCCTTATCTCCTTTTTATTGTTTTTGTTTGTTTGTTTGTTTGTTTGTTTGTTTTTGAGACCAAGCCTTAACCTGTCACCTGGGTGGGCTCAAGTGATCCTCCTGCCTCAGCCTTCCCAGTAGCTGGGACTACAGCCTTGCAATAGCACACCCAGCTAATGTTTCTATTTTTGGTAGAGATGAGGTCTTACTCTTCCTCAGGCTACTCTTGAACTCCTGGTCTCAATCCCTAAGTGGTAGGATTATAGGAGTGAACCACTGTGCTTGGCCATATTATTTATTTTTTAAATAAGTGATATTGGTGGGACAACTAGCCAAAGGGGTTAATTGTCTGATCTCATATGTTACAGCTGAGCCTTAATGATTCAACAGAGGAATAAAAATGTATTTTAAAAAGAAGAGCCCTAGGGGTGATCCCAGACATGCTTCTTCAAGATAGGAAAAGTGGCTGACAAGCCATGTGTAGACAATTTAGCATTATTACTTCCACTGGTACTAAGTATACAGTTTCTTTACTTTACTCTGACATCCTACAACTATCCTCCACCAAACTCCACAACTGAGTAAGTATACAGCAAATTGCTAAGTCAGTGTGCCCCCCGATGTCTTGAGACCACCAGTACATACCACAGCATCAAACCGGTTATAATAAATCTCTCCTTGGCTCTGCTCAATGTAGCGTTGTTTAGCGTGAACAAAAGCTGGTATTCCCCCATATGCCCAGCCAATGACGCCTGCTGTAACTGATGCCTTTAAGATATCTTGAAGTTCCTTTGACCGTCTGTGGTGTTCACTAAAACATCAAAAAGAAAAAAAAATGCTGTTTGGGATTAGCTTATGTGTCCTGCTTTCCAAAGACTCTATGATCAGAATTATTCCAAATGCTAACATCCCAACACTTTTCATTATGGGTAGAATCCTCTAATGAATTAAACAGCACAGTTATATGTAAAGTAACACAAATCTCATACAGAACTAAACTATGCTGTTAGAAACTAGTATAGTGAAACCAAAGAAGATTGCCCAAGGCCAGGGGTTTGAATCTATCCAGAGCAACATAGTGAGATCCTGCATCTACAAAAAATTTAAAAATCAGCCAGGTGGGGTGGTGTTTGCCTGTAGCCCCAGCTACTAAGGAGGCTGAGTCAGGAGGATCACTTGAACTTAGGATTTTGAAGTTATGATGGCCTGTGATCACACTACTCCACTCCAGAAAAAGAGAGAAAGAGAGAGAGAGATGAGAATAGTGGTTACTCTTGGGAAGGCAGTAACTGGAAAGGTACAAGATAACTAGCTATGTTCAGTTTGTGAAAATTCATTGATCGGCATACTTACATGCATTTTTCTAAATACATATAATACTCCAACAAAAAGTTTTTTTAAAAGGTGCTTTCATTTAATGACTATTACATCTATACCCTACTCCTGGAAATAGGAAGAACTTCTGAGTTGGATATAGAGAACAGTAGTATTTGCCCTTTTGATTTTGAAGCTAACATTTAGAAACCACACAAATTGAGATTTTAGTGTAGTGAATAAATGAAAGCAAGGATGTACCCCCCCCAAAAGCATCAAAACTCTATCTTACCACTTATTTAATTTTTATGACACACTCAACTAGGCCTGTACTATACAAAGCATTGAGAAAGCTCACTGGGCAGTGGGGAGCACAGGACCATCTAAAATAACAAAGAAAAACTACTATTTATTACTCTCGAACGTGTAGAAAACTAGAACTGCTAGTGGAGCTTCTAGGATGTCCTCCTGAAACTGCTCTAACAGATAGCTGTTTGTAAGGATTAAGTTCCTATGAATAATGGCCCTCCTAAGGAAGTAAACTAGCAAATGTTATCT